AGAGCGTAAGGGCTGGTGAAAGGCTTCCAGAGGATGGAGGAGCCCAGTCTGGAGAGCAGCTATATACATGCATGGGATATTCTAAGACCTTCAGTGATCCAAGTGGTGTTTCTCAATGCGAAAGAAAGCACAATGGGGAGGCAGCAAAGAAAAGCAAGGAACGTGGAAAGAGCTTCAGAGGGAGTGGAAAACTTAGAAGGCGTCCAAGAACTCACACTGGGGAGAAGCCACACACCTGCATGAAATGTGGAAAGAGTTTCAGTCAGAGTGGACATCTCATAATACATCAAAGAATCCACACAGGGGAGAAGCCATTCAAATGCTTGGAATGTGGAAAGGCCTTCTGTCAGAGTGGAGCGCTTACTCAACATCACAGGACCCACACTGGAGAGAAGCCATTCAAATGCATGGAATGTGGAAAGAGCTTCTGTCAGAGTGGAGAGCTTACTCAACATCACAGGACCCACACAGGGGAGAAGCCGTACAAATGCATGGAATGTGGAAAGGCCTTCTGTCGGAGTGGAGAGCTTACTAAACATCGCAGGACCCACACAGGGGAGAAGCCTTTCACATGCATGGAATGTGGAAAGACCTTCTGTCGGAGTGGAGAGCTTACTCAACATCACAGGACCCACACAGGGGAGAAGCCGTACAAATGCATGGAATGTGGAAAGGCCTTCAGTCGGAGTGGACATCTTATAAGGCATCAAAGAACCCACACTGGGGAGAAGCCATACAAATGCATGGAATGTGGAAAGACCTTCTGTCGGAGTGGAGAGCTTACTAAACATCACAGGACCCACACAGGGGAGAAGCCGTACAAATGCACGGAATGTGGAAAGGCCTTCAGTCGGAGTGGGCATCTTATAAGGCATCAAAGAACCCACACTGGAGAGAAGTCATACAAATGCATGGAATGTGGAAAGGTCTTCAGTGGGAGTGGGGATCTCAGAAGGCATCAAAAAACCCACATTGGAGTCTTCCGGTTTGGTGTCATGGCGGCACGAATGTGAAGAGCGGGTGCTCCCACTATCACACTGGTATTTGACAGACAGCCGTGGGAGGCTCATCTAAGCCGTGTCGGGGTGAAGATTAGATTGTCCGGGTACTCTTGCAATTGCGTGCGGCGGCGGCTCCACATTTAGTGGGAGAGATTTGGTGTTTTCTCCAGCAGACAACACAGAGGAGAGATAACAGCTCCCTACAAGCCATTGGCATCCGGGAGAATTGCATAGAAGAATTAGCTGGAAGTTCATCGGACCTGCTGAGTGGGCATTTTTATCTTTTTTTTTCTTCTATACTACCCTCGAAGAGCAGCAGCAACTTCTGATTTGGCATAAAGAAAAAAGGGGATGCCCTTTGATGGAGGGAGGAATTCTTCCTCCCCTCACAGAGTTTTAAGTGGCGACTGTTCTGGGGGAGAGGAACTGAGGCTCTTTTGGGAAGTTTGGGGTTGGACAGAAAGACCTTTGTTTTCTTACCTCCGCAAGGGCAAAGAATCAGAATAAAAAATTACTGTGGAATAACGTGATAGAAGATAAAGTTGAACTCTTGCCAAAGCAACCTTCATTCTAAAATATCACCTCACTTTCTT